TTCACACTTTGCTGCCCTATCACCAGTTGAAGAATTAGGTCTTTTGGCATATGATTTAATCCAGAAATATTCAGGTGGTAAAGTCTGTAATTTCGCATAAATGTGTTAAAAGGAGAACTTTGTGAATCATGTTGTTGAATATATAATGAACACTAATCAGTGGGTCAACATGCATATTTTTTGTAGAGAAACTGTAGCAATATTTGAGTTCATTAAGCATCAGTGATATTTTCTAGAGAACATAAATCTTAACCAGGACCACTATTTACATTTTCCATAAATAAGCTAATAGCACTAATTTTGGTACTCAGTCTAAATGTCATCTCATTATATTCATTACTGTGATTCAAGAGCATTTATAGCCAATATCATCTTGGCCATGTAATAGGGTGACCCTTGGATATGCCCCTCTCTTCCAAAATAAAGAAAAGGCAAAATTCACTCCTTTCTACCTGTCAAGTATGAATTTTAGGTCATTTCCCAAAGGAAAAAAAGTCTCTACCTGCAAGTGATAGTTTGCTTGCTTATTCAATAGCCATTCATGTGGTGTCTGCTGAATACTGTGTGTGTTGTGCACAATGCTGATGCCAATATGTTCACTCAGGGAGAAAATAATACCTGGGTACTTAATTACACACACAAAAAAACCCTTTGGTTACAGTTGTGCTCAATGCTTCAGAGGAAGAGTTTAGTTTATAATGAGGGTATGTGGTAGGCAGGAGGCTGAGAAAGAAATGTGGCTTACTGAGGCTAAGCGGGGATCTAGTTGCCGGCCCCTGGTTATTTAGACTAGTGCAAGGAGACCCTCTCTGGGATGCCTCTCTTTGCTTCTGGTGAACCAGAAGAAACCAGGGTGGCCTTTGCCTGAGGAGACTGAAGGAAGTGTAGACATTGCATGGATATCAAACAACCCTGAGGCCTCTTCAGTCAGGATAGGGCTCATGAGCATCCTCACCCCCATCCCCACCCTCTGCAGCCAAATCTCTGGGATGCTAATTAAATGTTCATGTTCCCTAGAACTGGGCCAAGTAACTCTGAATCAGGGAAAATATTAAACATGATTCCAAGGTGATTCTACTGCACTCTACAATTGGAAAGTTTTGCACTATTCAGATTCTCATGATTTTTAGATTCTCAAATGACCTCTGTGCCCATTCATGTTTGTCTCTGACTCAACTGTGAGATTTTCTTCATACGTTTTGTAAAATAAAGCCATTTGTCAAACATTTGGAAGTAAGTAAGGAGCCAACATAATTCCATATCATATGGAAATCATCATAGGGTGGGAGAGTAGAACAAGTAATTAACTGGAAACAAAACTTGTGTTTGAAATCTGGCTGTCACTCACTATAAATGATCATGGAAAGAAATTTTCCTTTATGATTCTGTTTACTTGTTTGTAACATGATCAACATTTTCTAAACTTCAGTCAGTGGAATGTTACCTTCAAAATAGTACTAATTACAACACCATTAGTAGTATTTTTCTCTTAATAATTATTTAAGTTTGATTTCACAGGGAACTTTTTATCATGTCCATGAAGACAAGCAATGCCACTTACCAAAGTTAAAATTTATAGCTATGAAATATATAATAACTAAAAAATTTTGAAAAGTATTTTTTAAATTTCTAAGATAACCTCATCTACTGCTAATATTTTTATTATGCTTGGGAAATAGTAAGTTAAATATTGTTTAATATAACTTTCTGTATAATAGATCTAAGTATTTTTACTGTGTAATGCAAAATGTTATTTAATTTTTCTTTTTTTGCATCACTAACATTTTTATTGATTTTTTAAGATTTTATTTAAGGTATGAAAGTTTCATGTGTTTCATATATATAGATTTAGGGACATAGTGATAACACCCACCCTACTGTCCCTCCTGCCCATGCTCCCACTCTTATTCCTCCTCCCTCTCCTATTCCCATTCTTAATTTTTGCAAAGATCTACTTTCAGTTTACTTTATACTCATAAGATTAACCCTACACAAATTAAAGAGTTCAACAAATAGTATGAAGAATTAAAAAACACCATTCCTCAACAGTACAGACAAGAGCTATAAATGAACATAGAATCCTAAATTGTCAATTTAATTACAATACACTACATTTTACATACTCTGTTAGTAACCACAGATTAGGAAAACATATGATATCTGTCTTTTTGGGACTGGCTTAATTCATTAAGTATAATGGCATCCAGTTGCATCCATTTGTTGCAAAAGACAGGATTTGATTTTTTAAACTACTGAGTAGTATTTCATAGTGTATATATACCCTAATTTCTTTATCTGGTCATCAGTTGATGGACATCTGGATCCCATATTTTAGCTATTGTTAGTTGAGCTGCATTGAACATGGGGGTACAGATGACTCTTTCATATGCTGATTTCATTTCCTTTGGGTAAATTCTGTGTTTTCAGCCTTCTGTGGTATCGACACACTGTCTTCCAAAATGGCTGCAGCAGTTTACATTCCCACCAACAGTGAAATAGGGTACCTTTTCATCAACATGCTCACCAGCATTTATTGTTCTTTGATTTTTGGATGATAGTCAGTCTCATTGGGTGAAGTGAAGTCTCACTGTGTTTTTTCATTTTTTAAAGATTTATTTATTTATTTGAAAGCCATGTTACAGAGAGGCAGAGACAGAGAGAGAGAGAGAGAGAGAGAGAGAGAGAGAAAGGTCTTTCATTTGCTGGTTCACTCCCCAAATGGCTGCAATGGCCAGAGCTCTGAAATCTGAAGCCAGGAACTTGGCAAGTGGTGGCTTTACCAATTATGCCACAGCAGTGGCCCCCTAACTGTGGTTTTGATTTGTATTTACCTGATGGCTAGAGATACTGAGCATTATTTCATGTTTCTGTTGACTATTTGGATTTCCTCTTTTGAAAAATGCCTGCTCAAGTCCTTTGCCCATTTCTTAACTGGATTGTTTGTTTTGTTGTTGTTGAATTTCTTGAGCTCTTTATAGATTCTGGGTATTAACTTTTTACCAGTTTCATGGTGTGCAACTATTTTGGCCCATTCTGTCAGTTGCCTTTTTACTTTCTGAGTGTTTCTTTTGCATGTGGAAGCTTCTCAGTTTGATGTAATCCCATTTGTTAATTTTGGCTTTGTTTGCCTGTGCTTCTGGGATCTTTTTCAAGAATTCTTTGCTTATGCCAATGTCTTGCAGAGTTTCCTCTAGTAATTTGGTGGTACCAAGTTGTAGATTTAGATCCTTGATCTATTTTGAGTGGATTTTTTTGATAAGGTATATTGTAGGGGTTGTTTTTCATTTTACTGCTCACAGAGATCCAATTCTCCCAGCACCATTTATTGAAGAGAGACTGTCCTTGCTCCAGGGATTGATTTTAGCTCCTTTGTCAAAGATAAGGTGGTTTTAAATGTATGGGTTGGTTTCTGGAATTTCTATTCTTTTCCATAGGTCTATACATCTATTTTTTTTTGCCAGTACCAGGTGGTTTTGATTATAGCTGCCCTATAGTATGTCTTGAAATCTGGTATGGGGGAGTCTCTGGCTTTGCTTTTGTTGTTGAAGATTGCCTTGTCTATTCAGGGCTTCTTGTGTTTCCTTGTGAATTTTATAATCATTTATTTTAGATCTGAGAAGAATGTTGTTGATGTTTTGATTGGAATCACATTGAATCTGTACATTGCTTTTGGTAGTATTGACATTTTGATGATATTAATTATTCCAATCCATGAACATGGAAGATTTTTTTCATTTTTTGTGTCTTCTTCTGTTTCTTTATTTAATGTTGTATAATTTTCATTGAGGAGAACTTTGACATGCTTGATTATATTTATTCTATTTAAATTTTTTTGTAGTTATTGTGATTTGGAATGATTTTAGGTGTTCTTTTTCAGCCATAGCACTGTCTGTTTATACAAACGCTATAGATTTGTGTTAATTTTATATCATGCCACTTTACCAAGCTCTTTCTGAGTTCCAATAGTCACTTAGTGGAGTCTTTTTGTTCCCCTCTATGTAGGATCATGTCATTTGCAAACAGGGATAATTTGACTTCCTCATTTCCAGTTTGTATCCCTTTGATTTCTTTTTCTTGCCTAATGGCTCTGGACTATATTGAATATCAATGGTGAGAGTGAGCATCCTTGTCTGGTTCTGGATTTTAGTGGGAATATTTCCAATTTTTTTCCCATTTGAAAAGTTGCTGGCTGTGGGTTTGTCATACATTGAATTGATTATGTTGACAAATGTTCCTTCTATACCCAAATTGCTTAAGGTTTTCATTATTAAAGGATGCTGCACTTTATCAAATGCTTTCTCTGTATCTATTGAAATAATCATACATTCTTTGCTCTTCAGTTTGTTAATGTGATGTATCATATCAATTAATTTGTGCATATTGAACCATCCCTGCATACCAGGGATAAATCCTGCTTGGTCCAGATGAATGATCTTTCTGATATGTTTTTGAACTCAATTAGCATTATTTTGTTGAGGATTTTTGCATCTATGTTCATCAGGGCTATTGCTCCATAATTCTCTCTCTCTCTCTTTTTTTTTTTGGCTGATGTTCTTGTGACAGGACCAATGACAAATGGGGATGAATCTAATCTACAAGGGGATAAGGATGTTTTGGTTCTGTATTCATGACTATGATTGATGAGCCTGCTACTTGGATATAGACCTGCCTTCTCTAAACAATCCTCTTCAGTCTTGGGCTCCGCTTGGATTTTTGTAACCTCCTGCTTTTCATCCAAAGCATCTGCAGAGGCAAATTTGGCTGTGTATGGCTGCGAGATTATTATTTCTATGGCGAGATGTAAGTTAGGAACCTACTATTCTACAATTTTACTTCCAAATCTTGAGTTGAATTTTGGAAGAGGAAAAGAAGTTTTCCAAACATACAAGGAAGTAGGGAAGGTATTCCAGATAGCTGTAAAAATTTAGAGACACAGATATATGCTGTAAGCCATTAAGTCCAACCAAATCACATATTCAGTTGAAGAACTTTCACTTCAACTCTATCCCCAAAGTGATATTTAACATAAAGGAGTGTTTTCAGTTGACAATATAGTTACTGATCCAGGGTTTAAACTCATGGAGAGGAATTTGCCTCTGCATTACTCAGTTTTATACAGAATCCCTAATTTGCTTAAAGTTTTCCCATGTTCATTTGCTTATACTTTAGTGGTTGACTGGAAAAAGAAATACAGAGCAATGTAGATACCTGAGTCATGTCATCCTTGTAACACGTAGAGTTGTTCCAATTAACTAGCCACGTCAAATCAGAGAAATGGAACTGACAGTAAGAGTATAAATGCCAAATAGGGGTACATTCTAATCCAAGTTACATCAGGTTTATTATGAATTTGGGAGGAAGTCAAATCCTCAGGCAATTACATCCAGGAAACCTAATCATCTTCAGTCAGCACAAGCTGCTGTAGCCCATAATATGTCATGTCATATATAACACTTCAGAAATTGTTGCAATTGCATCCAATCTTCCTGTACCTCCTTTCTAGGTTTGAAATAATATTTGCATCAGACAGAAAACAGCCAGGTCCTGGAGTGATGACTTGGAATGCTGTCTTCTGGAGGAAAAATAAGAGTTTTATCTGATTTTGAACTGGTTCTCTATGTTGTAAGTATATGTTGTAAGTGTAATTGATTCCATAAGGTAGGTCAGTGTCATTAGTTTATCTTTAGACCATTAGGGTTTTGACTTTGGTCACAAGTGATGATTTAAACTCCCATCTATTTTCTATGTGTAGATCCCTTGTCCAGATCTTTGTCCCAAGCTCCACTCATATGTGTATACATATTCAGCTGCCAAACAGATGAGCTGAAGGGCAACCCAAACTCTGTTCAAAATTGAATTCATTTTCTTGCCAAACAAGCCTAACTCTGCTATTGTGGCTTCTTTCCCTGTATATAAACTATTTCCTTTACCTGGAAACTTGAGAGACACTCTAGACTTCACCCTTTGTTCTTAAAATGTTTGGGGTCAAGTCCTTCAAATTTAGCAAAGTATCTATTACCTTTTCCAGTGTTCTGAATCAATTCTTTTTAATTTTTAATCTGGCTTCCTGTAGTAACCTCATAAGCAGATTTATGGCCTTTAGTCCTCTCCATTTGCAATTCCCTCGACATGAAGCCAGATGGATCTTTAAAATGCAAATATCTAGCCAACTAACTTTATTGTTGAAAAACCTTTAAATGGCTTCTCATTGCTTTCAAGAGAAAATACCAGTTCCTTAATGCATCATGCATTTAGACATTTCACGACTTGTCCCCCATCCTTGTCTGTAGCCTCATATATCTCTTTTCATGCTCTCTACTTCTCCTACAACATCCATTATAATAAGTAATACTATTAAACATCTATTGAATAGTTATGCTGAGCCTGTATAACTATTCTAAGTGTTTTATATAAGTACTTTTTAAACCCCACTATTGACACATATCACCTGAGATTCTTGTGAAAACACAAGTTCTAGTGCTTATTCCAGACCTATTGAGTCATTATCTTCAGAGAGTGGTTTGGGAAGCTGTCTTTAAAAAAAGCATTATTGAGTGTGACTCATCATGTGAGAAATTTTGGAGGATGATTATGATTTAATTATCATACAGCATAATGACAACAGAACTTTATTAGTGTCATTTATATTTAGATAGGAAAAATGAGACTTAAAGGGAAAAACCATTTATCCAAAGATATATGGTTAACTGTCATTATTGTGACTTGAATATAGACATCTAGTAGTAGAATTTATACCACTGTTATGTTCTAACTTGTAAGTCAACCCATACCCTGAATCACTCTCAATTGTCTATACCTCCTGTGTCCTTTAACTTGGAAAGTCATTTCTCTACCTCTTCCTGAAAACTACTTCTATTAAGTCTCATCTCATAATTCAGCTTGACTGAAGCTTTCCTTAGTCTCTCCAGTTTTCCTTGGTTGTCTTCCTGTGAATCATTCTGTTAACATGACACAACTTTGTCAATATCCTATCTCCTTCCTTATTAGACTACAAGGGGTTATATATGAAACTTTTGTATTCTTTTTAAAAATTTTTTTTAGATTTATTTTATTGAGTTACAGAGAGGTAGAGAGAGAGGGAGGTCTTGCATCTGATAGTTCACGTCCCAGATGGCAGCAATGGCCAGAGCTGAGCCAATCCAAAGCCAGTAGCCAGAAGCTTCGAAAGCCAAGAGTTAGGAGCTTCTTTCAGGTCTCCTATGTTGGTGCAGGGGACCCAGTTCTTGGGCTATTCTCTGCTGCTTTCCCAGGCACATTAGTAGGGAGCTGGATTGGAAGTGGTGCAGCTGGGACACGAACCAGTGCACATATGGAATGGCATTGCTGCAGGTCAGGGCTTTAACCCACTGCACTACAGTGCAGGCCCCGAACCTTTTATATTCTTAGTCTAGCAATGGTTCTGATGAATTATCTGACAAATACATATGTAATAGGTCATTTTCTCTTGGCAAGTGCCTGGCATTTGGATACTATAAGTGTGTGGATCTAGGGTCACTACAGCAAATTAATTGTTTTAGGTATTGGATATACTTCTTTTGTAGAAATAGAAATGAGTGTTAAGCAAAAGTTAAAACTTGGATGGAAGTAGCATTTTCCATAGTCATAAGGCAACAGGAAGAGCCCTGCAATGGTGGCAATGATTAAGACTTTAAGAACAGGAGGCTTGATTAGGTTAGTTCTAAACATTGATGTACTAGCAAAATTTAAGTAAATGATAATATTGATTTTCCTCTTTCTGGCAGGGATAGGGGATGGAATGGGCTCAATAGGAAAGGGGCTCCCATGGCTGGGAGTGACACCTGCATTCCACCATAAGGACAAAGCAGCAATCATCTTAACACAAACAGGTAAGGCTGTCCAGAGATTAGCAGACAATGTCCGTTCATGAGTGGCGCATGCATCTTGGTTTTTCCCTTTTCAGTTGAAATCAAGGAATGTGGAGAACTGTTTCACAGAGAGTTGTAAGCAATGCTGGAAGTCCTTGGAAGTATTTATTCTGGGCAAGAGAAATGTAGGGAGACTAGATTTTCTCTTGAGTTTGATGTCATAATTTAGGTATTAAAAATAAAATGTTGAGCTTAATAAGTTTGTGAGGTCTGGAAATTTGAGTCACAGAATTCACTAATAAAACCGAGGAAAATAGACCTTTGAAGATAGGAAGTCTTTTTTCCAGCAAGCTAAAGACAGTCATATGCAGTCCTGAAAAATGAGACCATAGGAAACATAGCAGAAGCATGATTTATAAGATAAACTTTATTTGAAACATAAGCTTTATTTGTAGCAAAGGATTTATTTACAAAAAAGCTTTATTTGAAGAAAAGTTTTATGTGACAAAAACTATTTGGAGGCATTCTGGGGACATAGTATATGGACAAAAGAAATCAAAGCCTGTATGTGTCAGAATAGAAGGGGTGAAGAAAGCACACTGCTACATTATCTATAAAGTTGATATTGCATATGATTACAGAGAAAAGAGTTTTCTTATGGGAGATTTACAAATTCAGTTTTAAGGAAATTAATATGCAGGTGTCACAGATCATAGCCTGTGAATAATTGCACCATATCTTATTAAATACAGTCATTGGAATCATCTAAAATCACAGACACGAGATTCAGTTTCCGTTCTCAACACTCTGCCGTAAGATACGAAGCCGTGACATCACCACATCCCAGTCGGCATAAGCTCCCTCCAGATGGCGGGATATCTCAGTTCTTGCTTCATAGCTGCGTCGGCCATGCAGTAAACGCCAGTTGTCAAAAGTAATCACATCTCCTGGATAAAAGATTTTCAGTGTGAACAATTGTTTTTAAATGAGTAGCAGAGTTAGAAAATGTAACACGCAAAATACCACTGCTGCTTGGTTCACATCAAGGAACAGCATGTTTATTGCTTTATATAAAACTGCACACACACTTTTTTCCCCAAATCAGGCCTCTGGAGGTAAACTACTTTATGTCTTATGACATTTAAACTATATCACCTGGTAGGCTCCTGTGGATATTTGAATAATTTTCATTTTAAAAATGGTCTCTGAGTAAAATTTTGTGTTTTTCTTACTGGTGGTTACTTATCTCTCATTTAGAAATCTTTCTTCCCAGTTTAACACGTTCAAATGATTGTAAAGGTAGTGACATCCTTGATTTGGCTTATATGTTCCTAGTATTTTATGTACATTACTTTTAAGTCTGATAAGAATCCTGAAAAGAGTATTATCTCAGCTTTTTATACAACAGAAAACTGAAGCTTCAGGTTTAGGGATTGCCAAAGCTATACTGCTATTAAATGGTAACGTTTGGATTCCAATTTCCTATACTTTTCTTTTTGTTTTTTAATTTCTTAATGAGTTTCCATTTTATCTGTTGCCTCTTTTTAAAATTTTTTTTTATTTAAAAATGTTTTATTTTCATCTATGTGAAAGGGCATGTGGGAGAGGGAGAGACATCTTCCATTCTTCCATCTGATGATTTACTCTTCCAATGGCCATTAAGGAGCCCAGGGGCTGGGCCAGGCCTTAGCGGAGGGAATGCAGAGACTCCCATTCTTGGTTCTCCCATGTGGACAAGTAGGGAGGCCCAGCACCTGGACCTACCTTTCTGCTGCTTCCCTGAATGCACTAGCAGGAAGCTGTCTAGAAATGAAATAGCTGGGATGTGAACGGGCGCTCTGATATGGCATGCATGTGTCCCAAGCAGCAGCTTAAGCTGCTGTACCACAATGCCCACCCCTATGTTGCCACTCTTAATAACAAACAGATATGCTCTTGTGGCAGTGGATTTATAGGGATTTATAATATTACCTTATTACGTAAATGTTCAACTAAAAAATAATCCCAAGTGAAACAAATCATCTATTTGGCCAAGTCAACAGCAGAAAAAAATGATTCCTTTTATTATCGATATCCAAATCCTCACATTTAAGAGATCTATCATATAACATGGCAACTATAGTTAATAACAATGTACTGTTTGTTGAAAATTTTAAAAAGAATAGATTTTATGTGTGCTTACCACAAAGTCAGTATATGCAGTAATGCATGAATTAGAGTTAGCCATTCCCAATGTATTCCTATTTGAAAACAATTTGTTGTATATAATAAATATGTATAATTTTTATTCATCAATAAGTAAATAAGAAAAAGCCTCATATTTGGTGGCACTTTACTGAGTAGAGATGGTCCAGAAAAAAAACCATAATGCTTGCTGCTTATTTATTTCAAATAAGGGGAATACTTCCAAGTTCCACTTCATTTCACATAGTATGATCTCTGCCAGTAAGCTTAATGAATAAATGTAAGGTCCACAGATGTCACGAACTTTAGAGTGAGAATTGTGGGAATGATTTCCTTCACAAGGATAGGATAAAGAAGCACAAGTCTCAATTTGTATCAATTTTATATGAAGATAGAAAATATAAAACATTCACCTTAATACTGGATGTGAGATTTTATTTGGCCTACACCTTGTCAAGTATTTATTCTTTAGGTAGGAGGCACATAAGTTTAGGGTACTTGAGAACTACCTGGAACTTGAGAAAATGATTATTTTTAGGTTTGGAGAGTCAATAGAGCAGAGGTGAGGCCGGGAGTCTGCTATATAAGCAAGCCGAATATTTGCCAGGATTCTGTTGTGAGTTTTCCATGGTCACATCTGAGAAAAATTGCTCTGTGTGTATTCTAGGTGGCTGAGTTTGAAGAAAATCTTTTCTTTCACTTGTTTGAGAAAATGTGTTCACTGACCTGGATTCATCTTGAAGGTAAACTTGAATTCTTTGCTGTTCATGAGGTCAACAAACTCCTTCAGAGCAGCATAAAAAGGCTGAACTCTTTCAACAGGTATATCAAATATTGTGTCTCTGGTTGCGTTATTGAAGTTGATGCGAACCACTTGGCCTTTATCATCTAACCTGATTTTTAAAGAAACAAAGTTAAAATATGAAACATCTACTTACATCTACTCTTACATTTGTAAGGGTCAGTTCCTTTGGAATGTATTTCTTAAACATAGTATTAAAGAACCCAAATACATGTACAGAAGATTTCAAGGTTGCCTGTGTTCGGTACAATTACATTCCTTCATTTTTACATTCATTCACTTAGCAAATATTTGTGTTTTGAAATATTATTGCATAAGCAGCAAGAAGATTCAAATTAAGTGTTTCATTTTTTTTAAAAGCTTTTATTTAATGAATGCATTTTTCATAGGTACAATATTAGGAATATAGCGGTTTTTTTTAGCATTTTTTTAACTTTTATTTATCAAGTTTTGTCTAGTGAAACTCATTCATTTTTTGTTTTTGAAAACAAGTTTAACATATTAAAATAGTTTTATGTCACAATTATTTTATATGTTTAATCCATCTGGCTTCGAAACATAGTTTTATTGGAGGTGCAGCATGGGAAGTTCTATCTAAACATTTAAAGTGCATAGTTCTAATTCAGTGTTAATTTTATAGATGGGGAACATAAAACACAGAGAAGAAGAGACTAGCCTGAGTCACATTCTTTCTATCTACATACACTACCAATCTTACTATATAGGCTTCTAGAAGAATGGTACTTTATCTCTTCTCTGTTGTATTCCCAGCACTCAACACACAGCATGGGCATAATAGGCAGTTAATATATATATAGTATATATATATAATATATGCAACTCTGCATGTTTTTTCAGTACATAGGGAGGGGACTAAGGTGTTTTTAGTATCGTAAGAGATCCTAATGTTTGGATATTTATACCATTTCTTAGATACATATTAAGGCCTTGATAATTAAGTTAATGCAGTTTTCAATGTAGGAAAGATAGCATCATTTACTGGATTTGAGCTATCCTGATTATAATTAGCATGACATAGACATTGCCCAGATGCAGAAGTAATATGAGGGGATTTTTTTCTTTTTTTTCTTTTTAGTTTATTGGAAAGATGCACTTCCAGCTAGTCCTCAAGGGACTTCTTTAGTGAGAAATGGGAGACACAGATGGAGATAGATGGGAAACTGGTCAAGGAAAGTTATCAATGATGGTCTGAGGATTACTCCCAGGGACATTCTCCCTTGGGGGCAATTCCAGATGGTAATAATGAGAAATAACAACTGCCTGGGGCCCAGTCCTGGTGGAGCAGGCCAAGCAGATGTGACAGATGTCATGTGTGTCAGGGCTGGTTTGGAGTCCAAGTCACCATTCATTATCAACAAGTCAGGATACAAGACACAGGAAGAAGGATATGATTGTGCTATAGAAATTGTGACTTTCAGGGCCCCTGTGAAATGGTAAATCCTCTGAGCATAATGGCAATTTTTTTTAAAGATTTTATTTATTTATTTGAGAAGTAGAGTTACAGACGTGAGAGGGAGAGACAGAGAGAAAGGTCTTCCTTCCATTCGTTCACTCCCTAGATGGCCGCAATGGCTGGAGCTGCGCCGATTGGAAGGTGCTTCTTCCGGGTCTCCCACGTGGGTGCAGGGGTCCAAGGACTTGGACCATCCTCCACTGCTTTCTCAGGCCATAGCAGAGAGCCTGGATTGGAAGAGGGGCAGCCGGGACTAGAACAGGTGCCCATATGGGATGCTGGTAATGCAGGTGGAGGATTAGCCTACTGTGACACAGTGCTGGCCCTGGCCCCGGCAATTGTTTTTTTTTGTTTGTTTGTTTTTTTTTTTTTTTAAGATTTATTTTAATGATCAGAGTTGGCGAACTCAAAAGGCTTTCATAGCCTTGGCAACTCATGACAAGAGCCTAGGGTGATTACTGATGCCATAAACAAGAGTGTCAATTTGTTAAGTCAACAACAGGAAAAAGAGTCACTGTGCACTTACTCCTCATGTAGGATCTCTGTCCTTAATGTGCTATACATTGTGATTTAATGCTATAACTAGTACTCAAACAGTATTTTTTACTTTGTGTTTCTATATGGGTGCAAACTGTTGAAATCTTTACTTAATATATGCTAAACTGATCTTCTGTTATAAAGAGAATTGAAAATGAATCTTGATGTGAATGGAAGGGGGGAGGGAGAGGGAAAGGGTAGGGTTGCAGGTGGGAGGGAAGTTATGGCGGGGGGGAAGCCATTGCAATCCATAAGCTGTACTTTGGAAATTTATATTCAATAATTAAAAGTTAAAAAAAAGATTTATTTTATATTTACTTTAAAGGTAGAGTTATAGAGAAGAGGAGGAGGAGGAGGAGGAAGAGGAAAAGGAAGAGGAGGATGAAGAGGAGGAGGAGAAGGAGAGAGATTTAAATCCGCTGTTTCACTTCCCAAATGGCCCACAATGGCCAGGGTTGGGCCAGGCCAGGAGCCTGGAGCTTCTTCCAGGTCTCCCATATGGGTATAAAAGAAAGGAATAGGTTTTCAAAATGCTGTTAGAATGTTAAACCATGAATTTGCATATACCGATAAGTTACAAATATGGCTTAATAGGCAATGAGGTAATCTCACCCCAACACCTCTCTCTCACAAACACACATACACACATGAACATTCATAAGTAAAGAATATCCTTACTCTCTAAGACAAGATACACATTCATTAGCTAGCATTATAAGCAATGATACAAGAGGAAAAGGAAACAAGTTTTCTCTTGAGATAAGACCAGACATTATTCTGAGAGTTGAAGGATGTTAGAGGAGGTAGGCGGCTGGTACCTTGAAGATCATCCTAAAATGAAAATTTGAACTTTGGAAATCAGGTAATTTTTCATATCACAACAGAATGAAAGGAAAGGGTCTAATACAAGTATATATCCTGAGCCAGAATCAAAATCTATAAAATATAAGAAAAATTGGCTATAAATTTAGCTGTGCATAAGGGAGAAATATTTAAAAAGAAACTAGCACTAGAATTTGGCCTCGTGGTTAAGACACTGCCTAGAATGCTTTCATCCTACATTGGAGAGCTTGGGTTTGAGTCCAGCTCCACTCCTGATTCCAGCTTCCTGCTAACGGGTTCCTTGGGAAGCAAGCAACTGATGGCTCAGGTAGTTGGTTCCTGATGTTCCCCTGTGAGCCTGGATTGAGATACTGGCTTCTGGCTTGGCCTTGCCAACCCTGGCTCTTGCAGATATTTGGGGGTGTAAACCAGTGGATGAGAGATTTTCTTCATTTGTCTCTCCCAGTTTCTGTCTCTTGGATCCTCTATTAAATGAAATAAATAAATAAAATTTAAACACAATAAGCAATATGGTAACTATGAAGCAGCAAAAACAAAACATCATCAATGATGCCAACCAAAGGACCTAATGCAGGGACTGTAGAATCATCTCCTACAGAGTTGCTGCTGTGGACATTTCTCATTAGTTACCATATATGTCTTATTAAGATGTGACGTTCTATAGGGCCTTTTCCATTTGATGTAGAAATGCTACTAAGTTATTTTCTGTTATATCATATAATATAAGGATCTATAGGAAAATTTTATTTCAGAGTTCAGGAGCATCTTGAATCTTGTAATTGATTATGTTCTCTACTTGTTTTGGATTCTAGGTACTCAGAGCTAAAATAGAAATATGTCACTTGTAAATTGTTGGATTTTATGGAAATCATAGGCAGCTAAGATTTTTCTGTATTTTCTAAGTTAAGTAATACATTAGGGGCTTCCATATATTAACAATTGAATTCTTCATCTCTATGTGGCAGGTTTTAGGTTATTTTTCCTATTTGCTGGAAAATAAACTATGTGCCAGCAAGGATAATTTATCCAGTAATAGATCACACAGCTGGTAAGGAAAGGATATGTAGTCTTGTGATTGAACTTGGAACCAACAGGAACGCTTAATCTCATCATTATTATTATAGCCCTGGTTTTGTCATTGGTTTATTTTTTATTGTAGTGCATTGAAACTAATTATGTCAGCAGCTTAAAAGATGTTTTTGTACGAGGCAAGACATAAAAATTTCAAACGAATTCTAAAAATTAACCACAAGTAAAATTAACCTAAACCCTCAGGAGACAGAGGTCCTTGGTTGATGAAAACCCTCTTTGCTTCATTTCTTGTTGTTAAAAATATATTTTAAGTGGGTTGATGTTAGACACTTGATATTCTCTAGGGATGTCCCTGAGACCTTGCAAATGGACAAATTCTGGAACTTTACTACGAAAAAAAGCTCAAAGCCAAGTCATGATTCAGATGTTAGACATGCAGTTAATCTTGCTTAATGGCTAAATTTCTTGCCTCTGTTCACCAGTCTCATAGAATCTGCAGTCACATTGTATTTCAATAAATTTTGATTTGTTATGGTTTTTAAAAAAGATGTACCTACTTATTAGCGAGAGCGAGAGAGGAGAGAGGAGAGAGAGAGAGAGAGAGAGAGAGAGAGAATATATATCTTATAATTAGTTCACTTCCAACTCCACAACAGCCAGGGCTGGGTCAGACCAAAGCCAGGAGCCAGGAATTCCATCTTGGTCTCCCATGTGTGTAGCAGGAACCCAAGTACTTGAGCCATTATTGGCTGCTTCCCAGGCACATTAGCAAGGAATTGGATTGGAAGTAGAATAGCCAGGAATAGAACTGGCACTGGAATATGGGATGTGTGTGTACCAGGTAGCATCTTAACCCACTGAGACACAATGTCTGCCCCTGTTAGAGATGTTTAAGGTCATGTTGGGAGAATTTAAACCATCCTGTTATAACCAAGAATTTTGAGTTGTTTCTTTTCTTTCACCTCTCGATGACTGAGCTCTCAGAGAGAGCTTGTCTTTCTCTGACACCCCTCATCCCGTCTTTCAAGAAAATCATCTCTTTGTAACTGCAAAGTATATCCCAAAGCTTATCATTTTTCACACTACAGCTTAAGTCACTCAGACTTCTTCTATATGCAAGTCTATATCATGTCTAGCTTGGACTCTGACAGTAGCTTTTTAACTGGTCTTCCTGCTTCTGCCCTTGCTCTTTTTTCTTTTTCATTTGAAAGAGAAGGTGAAATGTTTCACTCTTCAAATCCCCCACTTCTGAAATGCCTGCAACAGTTGGGTCTAGGCTAGGCAGCAATGCAGTCCAAATCTCCCATGTGGTTAGCAGGGACACAGCTACTTGAGCCATCCCCTTGTCTCCCAGGGTGCACATTCACAGGAAGCTGGAATCAGGAGCAGAGCCAGGACCAGAACGCAGCTACTCCAATATGGACTGTGGGAATAGCAAGCGGCAGGCATCCCAACTGCAATGCCAAATTCCCCCTCCCCTGTCCTTACTCTTTTATGCTATATTCAACACAGCAGCCATCCTTTTAAAATGTCACTAAATAAATATGTCCTCTCCTCTATTCAAAATCTTGCAAATGCTCTCCCCTTCTCTTAGAATAACAATGTTTTTATAGTTACTACCAAGACGCTGTATGAAATAGCCCCCATCTTGTGGTGGAATGAGAAGACCATGCCAAGGTGGCCACTGGCAAGCAAGTGTCAGTTACTCAGGAATGGCTTTGAAACCCACCTGGCAACAAAGCCTGCCTGGCAACAGGCTGTGATTGGTTGGGGCATAGACCGCCCCTTGGCCAGATTGGCTGGTCTTGACTATATAAGATGTGGTTCCAACTGTAATAAATGAGTCTGCGGGCTGCTCGCCTCAAGCCTGCTTTCACCCGACTCCTGGGGTCTGTGTGGTGACTCCCCGCCTCTTGCCCCCACCACGCCGCTCCTCTCAGAAACCAATCCACTGCAACATTGTTGAGAAATCAAAGGCAACACCATCTGACCTCCTTTTTCTAATAGTGTTCCCTAGCCACATCAACCTCCTAGATTTTCTTGAACACCCTCCCTTAGAGTTGTTGTTAGGGCTTATTAGGGTGTCTGCTCTAATGGTTTTCAGAAAATCCTCCTCTTCTGGGCAGATGTCTTTCCTTCTTTAGATCTTTGTTCAAATTTTACTCAGTAAAGCTTTCCCTCACTATTATTTAATGAGGCAAGTTACAGCCTTGCTGAGACTTTGGTCCAACAGGTCTCCCTTATTCTGTCCTACTTTTTTTTTTTTTTCTCTTGAGCTCCTAATATTTTTAACACTCATTATGATCTGCTTAATTGTTTTAAAAATCTTAATTCTCTAACCTGTTGGAATGTGAGCTACATGAGGGTATGGATCTTTGCTTTGTTCACTGTTGTATACTTACACCAAGAAGAGTGTCTGAGCTCTTGTATAAATAAATGAAGTCTTTCTTAGTATATAAAGTAGTTGGATTAGTGTACTGCAGATTTGATTTTCTAGTAAATGAATTTATTTATATTCTATTTGGCTATTTCTCCTAAAGGAAGAATATTAATATTAAAATTAGAAACATACCACTGCTGCAAATTAACTGAGGTCTAATGAAATTAACTATGTCCTAGAAAGACACTGTAAGATAATTATTACATAAAAGAATTAACCTGTGTACTTTGTAGGCATATGGCAAAATCATTCTGAAGTAATGTCAAAAGAAAAAAATATAAATTAGTCTATCAGGGAATGTATGATTTTTTTGACTTAGCACCTCTTTGGGGAAGAATCTCTGCTTTATTCTTAGTCCATATGGTCAGACATAGCTGATTTTACTGCAGAGATGAACATAGGATCCAGAAAAGCCCAATTAAGATTCTCCAACCACCCAGCCATGGTGATTACTTCAAGGCTAGACTGGACATAAGCTGGGCCATGAGTCATTTGGCTATGGTATAGTCAGTGAGAAACACAATACATCCTTTGTGCTGTGATTATTATCTCTAAGGAAAAAAAAAACTTGGAGCTTCTCATAATCATCTTTGAAAATGAATTCAACACAAAAGACAATAAGGCTAAGAATTAAAAAAAGAGGCCAACTCCAGATGGTATTGTTTAACTCCTGGATCACCTATTTAGAGTTATCATTATTATTATTTTTGTTCCCGTTTGAATTATGAATAGTGCAATCACATTGTTTACAACTATATGGAACTTGTATTTTAAAAATTAAATCTTTGTTCCTTTTGCTCTAATATTAAGAACAGATTTCATGTAATTTGAGAAAGAATTTTTGGTAAGAAGTTTATTTTTTCTCTTTTATTCTAAAATTGGATTAAATAGCTAATGAAAAGTAAATCTCTAGAGTTCATCACAGCTTCCTGCTGTTTAAGTTACTGCAAATTTTGCTGTCAGTTTTATTGCTATGGGAAAATTGTAAAATATTACTTACTCTATAATTTTGTGTTTGGATTGTACAGAGAAATCACAATAATCCACTCCAATGTCTGTGAAGTCCACAAAGGTAGAGGACAGAATTTGGAATGCCCGTGGGTTTTTTTCCTTGAGCTTTCGGCATACATTAAACCCATCTACTATTTCAGAATCACCTCCTGTGACTGTTTGCTTTATGCAGTGCAGAAGCTGAACCTGTAAAAAAGGAAATAAACATGTTTAAAAATAACACACACTCACTTTTTCTGATATTGTGTTAAGAAAAGATTCAGAAACACATGAGTGGATAAACAAACCGTTTTCACCTGTGCCTTTTGGGTTAGCAGAGAAAAGGATTGGAAAGGAAAAAGCTACTTATGATAACTGCTACATAGTTTAAACGTGGTATAACTGAAGATACAGGCTCAGGCATGAAAATGGTCACTAGCAAATAAAGGGCCCAGGTCATAGGATTTGCAAGGAATGTGCACTTTTTGTGGAGTAGGCAGGAAAGCTTTCTATAGGAGATGGAGTTTAAACTGGGCAAAGGTGGTAGATAAGATTTGGGATACACAGAATGATAATGGATGTTCACAATTTCACTGTTACCTAGGAAAGTTTGGAGCAGAGGGTCATGAGTGGGAAGAGTAGATAGGGCTGGAACGGCATTTGGGGCCTCATCATAGAGAGTCTTGGTTGTCAGATAAAGGACTTTTGTACTTTCTATTGTGTGTAGAGGGGAATCATTGAAAGCTTTTGAATGTGGAAATAATGTCATTAGGACGGCATCAAAGAGTATTAGACCAGTGCTGGCAGGCATTTGGTGTGGTGGTGAGACAATGATTGGGATACTTGTATACCATATTGGAGTGCCTGTGATTGAGTCTCAGCTCTGCTTCTAATTCTAGCTTCCTGCTATTGTGCACCCTGGTAGGCAGGAGGTAACGGCTAAAGCAAGAAGGTATTTGGGCCTCTGTAAAACATTTGGGAGACCCAGATGGAATTCTAGGCTCCTGGCCTGTACCTGGCTCTGTCCATGGCCTTTATGGGCGTTTGGGGGATGAACCACTGGACAGAAATTCTCTCTCTCTGCCTTTAAAATAAATAAAAATAAATAAGTACAAATAAATTTCACAAAGAATATTAGTTCAAAGATATTCTATAGGATGAAAATTTTTTTTTGAGGGAGAACTGGTCACTTGAGCTACTGGAGTCTAATGTGATCGTTCAGGTACAAAGCTAAGAAGGGAATGAGGTAGGGTTGGACTGTGAGTATGGATAAATCCAAGAAATATTGGAAGTGAGAAATAAAAATCATAGTAAATATTAGTAATTTTTATAAGACTTAGGGAAAAATTTAAAAAATTGTTACATTTTCAAAAGTATAACATTGTAAATTTTCATTGGTTTTGTCATTCTTTTTGTAAAGTCAGCATGGAGTGGTTCACCTCTGTTGGCATAATCACACCTTCACCTTCTCTCTTCCAAGGTAATCAATGCCTGGGTGTTGGCCCACAGTGTGTGCAGTACTCATCTGTGCCACCTTATGAACTGCACAACAGATCTGTGCAGTCCTCAGTTTGAGATGATTCTGTTGCAATGACCCACCCCAGGCAATCAGGGAGCTCTGAGTGTGTGGAGCTGCTCACATTGATTGCCCAGAGACCATGCTACACTCTGTGCCCTTTTGTGCAATCATAGAGTTCCCGTAGTCTCAGCACACAAGGCTCCCACTGTCATGGTGTGCAGAGGACCTTCTCTGCCCCCCCCCCCCCATCCTGTCCTGTCCACAGAGGTAGAGGAATGTGCAGAGCTACTTGCCTGTGGGTGCTCAACCTAGGCCTGTGATCTGTTGAGATGCTAAGGGTACCTCAAGTCACTTGGGTTCCCAGATCCCTGTCAATCCTCTCAGCCAGCCTCCAAATGAATGGTGAAGGCAGATTTTTCCCTATCGTAAAATCCCTGGATCACACATGGGCACAAGAACCACCGTCACAGCCCCTTCTTATTTCACAGTGATGCTTTCTCTCTGCCGGTTGCATGCACCCAAGTTGCTGCTGCAGCGACATCTCCTCTTGGCCAGTTGCTAGGAGCATGCACAAAGGCTGCTGCAGCTGCTGTGTTTGTTCACAATGGTGCCCACCCTCTCAGCTGGTTGCTGGTGTCATTTTGGGGTGGGGGGATGGAGAGAGAGAAACTTGTCTCTTTTTTTCACTTAGGTTAGCAGATACCCTGTCTCCCACAGGGCTCCAGGTCAAACTCACGCCAGGCTGTCATCTGGCTATATCGCCAGTGGCAGGGGCAGCTGCAGTCTGATCTCATCTCACTCTCCAAGGTTGGTCCTCTCTCAGGCTGTCAGCTGCTGGGGTCCTGTGTTTTGTCCATGCTTGTGTTCTAAATCTGCACCCTCCACCTAAATCCATAGTGTCTCTATTCCTTTTGTAGAATTTCCACTGCAGTTTTCTTTCTCTCTCTCTCTCTTTTTTTTTAAGATTTTATTTATTTATTTGAGAGGTAGAGTTACAGACAGTGAGAGGGAGAGACAGAGAGAAAGGTCTTCAGTCTATTGGTTCACTCCCCCACAAATGGCTGCAACAGCCGGAGCTGTGCTGATCCGAAGCCAGGAGCCAGGAGCCATGAGCTTCTTCTCAGTCTCCCATGTGGGTGCAGGGGCCCAAGGACTTGGACCATATTTCACTGCTTTCCCAGGCCACAGCAGAGAGCTGGATCGGAAGTGGAACAGCTGGGACTAGAACCACTGCCCATATGGGATGCCGGTACTGCAGGCAGAGGATTAACCCACTACGCCAAGGTGCTGGCCTCACAGTTTTCTCTTTAACTTTCCCGAGACTGCACTATGGCCACTCCTTTTTCTTTCTGTCTTCTCCTAGCCTAGAGCAGTACACCACCTTCCTATTCCACCATCTTGGAAAAATCTTCAAATATTTAATTTTCTACTCTCATCCCTCAAGCTTTATTCAACTCAATTTCTTTAACCTATTTTTAGCTGATTATTCTGGCTTTTAAGTCAAGGATTTCAGAAAAATTTGTCATCATGTAGTTCAAAGAAATCATGTGATAGTTTACAATCAACAAAATAACTTACACCATGTGAAATCAATAATAGATCAATTTAGCTAATACTGGCCAAAGCAATTGGAAAAAATGACAGCACAAAGAAAACATGTTCAGTTAAGACGATGAAAAGTAAATGGATGGGTTTTGATTTTCATCCATTTCTCCTCCATTAATCTGAGAATTGGTCAAGTTGTATTTAACATTGATGACACAAATTTCTATGTGATTATTTAGTATAATTTACCTCTAAAATTAGGGACAAAATATCTTTTAAAAGGTAGTTTCCCAACTATTTATGTTTTAGTTACTATTAAAATGATGATTTTATAAAAGTGTATCTGATTCAGTAAAATGGTAATTTTATAAAAAGGATGAGGGACCACTCAGAAATTATCCCAAGGATTTGTGATTCCAGACAGAGTATCTGCCTCCTTGACAAGGGATCTGATAGATAAGATGGTAAATGGTTTCCAAAAATAGCCAGGGTTATTCTGTTGCTTCAATTTACAACCGTTTAATGCATTTCTGCCACTCTTACCATGAGGTTTTCACGTCCTCATCTCTTCAGTCTAAGCTAGCTTTAAGATTTAGGTAGACCAGAAAAAAAAAAAAAAAATGGCAGAAGTGACCTTGTGTTGATTACTACCCTAAACCTGGACTTTGCGTGTGTGGGCTTGCTCTCTGGAAACTGCTAGCTGTCCTCTGAATAAACTGGGCTAGCCTGCTGGAAGACAACAGACCAAGCAGAACAGACATAAGCCTTATTAGCTGAAGTCAGCCTGTCCCTAGCCAGCTCAGCAGCTGAGTACAGGTACATGTCCTCAGACCAGAAGAAATGCCAAGCTGAATGCAGCCTAAATTGTAGAAATTGGCCATTGTTTTAGGTCATTAAATTATGGAGTGCATTTTTACGCAGTAGTAGCTAACTGATATGAATGATGGCCATGTGACTTTGTCGAAAAACCCTATTTTTGTATTCCCTAATTTCATTTTCTATTTTAACTCTCTTGGGAGAGGTATTTGGGCAGAAAGACCTCACAGTGTACTGCTCTCTTAAAATTTGTCTAGGCAATAGAGAGTGCCATCAGGAATTTCCAGGATAAAACAAATACTTTTCTGAAAGATACATGAAAAAATTCTATCCCTTAGGAATGTGACGATACTCAGGATTTAGTCACAGAATTTGTGAGTTTGGATTGTGTTTAGAGAAAGGAGATTGATGTCAGATATTATCTGGCTAAACATACACTCTTCTGAACTCAAAACACAGGAGGATAATTGTCCTTGGCCTGACTTGTGTAAAATATGTTGAAGCTCACCTTACCCCAGGTGGATGATGGAGGGCTGGATAATCAGTGTGAAAGCTTAGCTTCCCAGTTGTGTAAGCCACATTGTTTGCATCGATTTTGTCTTGTACTTGCCAAGTATGTCTGTAAAATACAAGCAACACATGTTTAAAAAGGTTGTCATTAAACCAAAGGAAATGTGTTAGAATGAGTTCGATATATGAGGGGAAATGGAAACTTTTCATTTTATGAAGTAATTAAAATAATGAGTAGGAGCCAGAAAGAGAGCATGACTTTTCTTTGTTGAAAGTGATGATTGTAGAATTAGCATCTCCTCATTTCTCTTTTCCTGAAAGTACTCACACATTTGCACATTAGTCTTTCCTACAGTATTTTATAAAAAACGGTGCATGGGATTGTAGGTTCTCTTTTTAAATAACAATACATTTAAACATGGTGTATTAAGGTAAAATTCAAATAACATAAGATGAACCATTTCAAAGTGAGCAATTCAGTGGCATTTAGTATATTCACAATGGTGGCAATCATTGGCTTTGTACAACTTGTTTGAAAACATTTCCATCACTCCAAACTAAAACCTCACATCCAGTAAGCTGTTTCTTTCCACTTTTCCCTTCCCCAAGCCTTGGAAAGTACTGATTTACTTTCTGTCTCTATGGATTTATCTTTTTTGGATTTTAATATAAATAGAATTATACAGTATATAACTTCTGTGTCAGGCTTCCTTCACTTAGCATAATATTTTTAAGATTCATCTATATTGTGGCATGTATATCATTTATTTTATGGTTGAATGATTTTCTATTGCATGAATAAATCGCAATTTGTTTAGCCTTTTATCAATTGATGGGCATTTTGGCTTTTTTACTCTTTGGTTATTGTGAAAAGTGATGCTATGAACATATTGGTTAATGTTTGTATTTGAGTAACTGTTTTCAATTTTTGAATATATAAATATGAATAGAATTATAGCATCATATCAAAATTCAATGTTTAACTTTTTTTTAAAAGATTACTTATTTGAAAGGCAACAACTGGGGCTGGGCCAGGTCAAAGCCAGGAGCCAGGAGCTTCTTATGGGTCTCCCGACATGGGTGCGAGGGCCCAAGGACTTGGGCCATCTTCCACTGCTTTTCCCGGTCCATTGGCAGGGAGTTGGATTGGAAATGGAGTAACTGGGACATGAACTGGTGCCCATATGGGATGCCAGCACTGCAGACTGTGGCTTAAACCACCATGCCACAGTGCCAGCCCCTCTATGTTTAACTTTTTGAGGAACTGACAAATTGTTTTCCAAAGCGACTATGACATTGTACATTTCTACCTGAAGTCTGTAAGGATTCTAATTTCTCCACATCCTTACCTACACTTGTCATTTTCTGTGTTTTTAAAATTATAGCTAACCCACTGGGTATGCAGTGGTATTATTGTGTTTGGATTTATATTTTCCCTACTGACTAATTATATGAGTATCTTTTCATGTGATCATTGGCCAATGTGTATCCCCCTTAGAGAATTGTCAATTTAAGCCTTTTATCCATTTTTAAGTTGAGTTGTCTTTATGGTTGACTTGTAAGAGTTTTTTCATATATCCTAGATACTAGACCCTTATTAGATATATGATTTCCAAATATTTTCACACCATCTGTACATAGTCTTTATTTTATTTATTTATTTATTTTTTACAGGCAGAGTGGACAGTGAGAGAGAGAGAGAGAGAGACAGAGAGAAAGGTCTTCCTTTTCTGTTGGTTCACCCTCCAGTGGCCGTTGCGGCCAGTGCACCGCGCTGATCTGAAGCCAGGAGCCAGGTGCTTCTCCTGGTCTCCCATGCGGGTGCAGGGCCCAAGGACCTGGGCCATCCTCCACTGCACTCCTGGGCCAGAGCAGAGAGCTGGACTGGAAGAGGGACAAATGGGACAGAATCTGGCACCCCGACTGGGCCTAGAACCCGGTGTGCCGGCGCCGCAGACGGAGGATTAGCCTAGTGAGCTACAGTGCCGGCCTCATTTTCTTTCTATTGTTCTTTGATACCCAAGTGTTTTAATTTTGGTGAAGCCCAATATACATTTTTTTCTTTTGTTGTTTATGCTTTTGGTGTTATATCTAAGAATCCTTTGCCTAATCCACAGTCATGAAGATTTGCTCTGTGTTTTCCTTCTGTGAGTTCTTTGGTTTTAGTTGCTATATTTAGCCTATCTGAACTTCTGTATAAGCTATGACGTAGTGGCATCCAATTTTGTTCTTTCACATGTGGATATTCAGTTGTTCTAGTATTATTTGTTTGAGAAACTGCTCTTTATTGAATGATATTGGTATCCTTATTGAAAATCAGATGGCCACAGATAGCTCAATTTCTAGCTTCTCAATTGTATTGCATTGGTATGAAGATATATCCTATTGCCAGCCCTACACTTTTAATTATCATGGATTGGTAGTAAATTTCAAAATCAGGAAGTGTGAGTTCTTCAATTTTATTCTTTATTTAAAATGTTGTTTTGTCTACTTGAAGCCCCTCACAATTTTAAATCATATTGAAGACTGACTTTTCCATTTCTTAAAAAAAATGTCATTGGAATTTTTATAGCATTACAAATAGGATTACATTGAATCTGTAGAGTGCTTTAGATAGCATTGATATCTCAATAATATGAGTATAATGTCTTCTAATATCTGGACATATTTTCTTTTCTATTTATTTAGATCTTCTTTAATTTTTCCAGCAATGTTTTTAGTCTTCATTGTATACATCTGTTGCCTTCTTTGTTAAATTTATTCCAAGATATTTTATTCTTGGGATGTTATTGTAAATGAATTGTTATAATTTCCCTTTCAGATTTCTCATTGCTGATGTACAACTGATTTGATTTTTGTATGTTTATCTTGTACCCTACAAATTCACTGAATTCTTTTATTATCTCTATTAAATATTTAGATGCAGATTCTATAGGATTTTCTATAGAAAAGGCCATATCCTCTGTGAGGAAAGATACATTTATCTCCTCCTTTCTCGTTTGGATGACATTTTTATTTATTGCCTGATTGCTCTAGCTGGAGTTTATAGTACAATATTGAATAGCAGTGGTGAAAGCTAGCATGCTTGTCTTGTTCCTGCTCTTAGGGAAAAACTTGATACATTTTAAAATATACTCTTAGAATTATTATTCAGATCAGGAAATAAAGCTTCAAACTTCTGCCTGTGTCCCTTTCCAGTCATAACTGCTTCTTTCTTGTTCAAAGTTACCATTTCCTTATATTTCTTTATCCTGCATTTCCTTACCTCTTAGACGCTGTGTTTAATCTTGCTCACTAAAAATAATTACTATGACTTTTACTGCTCTTAATCTACAAGCTGTCCCTCCACTCTGGTTTTTTCTTCCCCATTTATTGTTTGAAAAACTTGGAGAAGTTGACCTACAGAGTGTACTCATGGTGCCATTCAACATGTTCCCCTGTCCGCTGGGCTTCTGGAAACTTCACAGCTAAATGCAGAGATTATACTCTCTTTGGCAAAACCAAAACTGATGTGTATTCTTTCATTGCTAGACCCATAATTCCTAATGTCTTTCTGTTTGTGTTGTTTGTAAATTGTCATGCTCAGTGGCTGGACCTACTGAATTCATCAGTTACAAGTAGTGAAATATCAAACTGACAATTTCTTTTTTATTGATTGATTGGAATATATATATTTTTCTCTACAATATTTTATAATTTTCCCACTTTCTTTAATCTATTAAAGATTGGACTTCCAACTTGTTTTTCTCATCTTTGATTTCATTGAGAAGGCTTTCAGAATTTCACTATTCAGTGTGATAGTATATCATGCTTGCTTCTTTCCTTCCTTCCTTCATTTCTTTTCCTTCCTTCCCTCCCTTCTTCCTTTTAAAATTTATTTTATTTATTTATTTGAAAGTCAGAATGACAGAGAGAGAGGAAAAGACAGATAGAAAAAGAGATCGTCCATCTCCTGGTTCACTGCCCAAATGGCTGCAATGGCTGGGGCTGGAGCTGGGCCAAGCTGAAGCCAGTGGGAAGTGTCACTATCATCTAAATCTGTACATATGTAATACATTACATTTCTTCACCTTATATAAATAAAAGTTATTTTTTAAAAAGACAACTCAACATGAATCTCCCATGTGGGTGGCAGGGTCCCCAGTACTTGGGCCATCTTCTGCTGCTTTTCCAGGAATGTTAACATGGAGCTGAACTGGAAACAGAGTAGCTGAGACTAAATCAGTGCTCTGGTATGGGATGCAGGTATTGCAGGAGGAAGTTTAACCTGTTATGCCATAATACCAGCCCCAGATTTCCTTTGTTAAATTTAATATCTTTGATTAACATGTCACAATATTTTAAAAAAGCATTTTCCCTCATCTATTATTATTAAACTTATTTAAATTCTTCTAAAAAGTATTTTTTCCACATTTATAATTTGGTTACCCAGAAAATAACCTAGATGGAGATGATGAGATAAATCTTTGATTCCTTTCACTTATTTACCCTTTGCCATGTAATGAATAAATTTCCTGGAACTCCAATTGAACAACTAGTTTTTCATGACTTTATAAATGTACTAAATGGATGCTGGTCCGTGTTCTGGCTGTGCTACTTCTGATTGAGCTCCCTGCTAATGCATCTGGGAAAGCAGTGGAAGATGACCTAAGTACTTGGGCCCCTGCCACCCACAACTTCATGGCAAGAAAACAATCCATTATTCAAACTTGAAATCTCTCCTGGAAGATTGAGGCACTGGGTAATTGGATGGAAGCTGTATTTCAAAATTAACCCAAACTGGTTTGATAAGAAGATCACCACGTGTGCATGCCATTTTATTGCTGTTACAATGCTGATTTATTAATTTGTGTTCATCAAATAATCTTTAATGAATATGTACATTAAACTTCTATGAAAACTTCATTGAAGTTCTCTTGATTTTCTATCATTTGACCGTTTATTCATAACTCTAATGAACCTAAAATTGTTGGATGTTTTGTGAAGTTAGTTACAAATTTTAAAGAGTTCTCATAAGTCTGATTTCATTTAAATCCATGAATCCATAACCCTGCTTCCTCTCTGGACTGTATGCTCTTTTAATATATTAAATGGGAAAAGACAGATAAC